CAAGACTGGCTTCATAGGGCCTAGGATTTTATTAATTTATATAAACTTCCTAAAACTTTTGCTATAAAGAAAAAGGGAAAAGCTTGAAAATATTCACAATATCGTACAGCAGGATAATGGAACTGGCAAAGTTCTGGAATTTGTTATTTCTTTTCTAAAAAAAACCTCTCTTGAAAATCTTTATTCTAGCAAGTCCTTGATTGAAAACCATGTCTTCTGTCATTGATGACATGAGGTAGATCTTTGTAACACAAGTCTGAAGGCAATTCTCATCCCCAACTGTTAAATGAAATAGAATCCCTCACCGTGGCACATGTTATTTCTCCTTTATTTTTTTTTTCATGGTGTATAGTTTAGTAGAATATAAAATAAGAATTTAAAAAGCAATCAAGCAGCCGGTAAGACTTTGATCTTTAAAATGCTGGAATTATCTTTAATCAGAGGAGATTTATAAGTAGTAGTTGAATTAAAGGTGGAATTACTGCCTGGCTTTGTTCGTTTAAGTTTCTCTGCTCTTCCCACTAACAAAAATTTTGTCTCAAATATCTCCTGTATCCTTTGAGAGGGATTTGTAATAGGCAGTCTCCAACTTCAGAATTGGGTTAATCTTCCAAATCTTTAGTGGTAGCACTGTCAGTAAATCTGTAAGCTTGGAGATCCTTATCAGTGAAAGAATATTTGAAGCTCTGGGAATGTGTTTTCCCAAGCCCATGGTGAACTGCCTGAAAGAGCAAAAGAAAATAGACTAAGTCTGGATGGAGAAATCCTTGTTTTTCATGCTTGCTCCTAGGGAAAACAAGCCTATTTTCTTTTGAAATCCCATTTCCTCTGGATTTACTTGTTCTCATGCACTTTATGGGTCTTATGATGAAGGAGGGCTTTGGTTTTTCTGTTGGAATAAATGGGAAAATATGTTTAAATGCTCAAAATGGGTTAAAAGTTTTATAGAAAATGATACTCTCTCTACATGTTTGATGGGCAATATGAAACCTGTGACAGAGAGGTCCCATCCAGGAGAGCAGTAAGGGTGTGCCAATGCCCAGGGACTAATGCATCACCAGACCCTTCAGCTACAGCTGAGCACTCTGATGTCTTCTTCCTCTTGCTACCCAGGTCAGGTTTGTCACGTCAGCAAGGACACATTCAGTCAGAAAGGACTTAACTTCTATTCACAAAGAAAGAAACCCTTTTTTGGTGTGTGTGTCTTTACTATCCAGTCATCCCCACACTAAAAACATGGTTGGAAAAGTTTCGGTGTGCCTTGTCAAAGTTTGAAATATTAATATTTCCAAAAACCATCTGAGAAATTTATTATAATTCAAGCAGAAAGAACAAAATATCTTAAAGTGATGGAATAACACACATAAATAGAGCCTTTCTGCCCCTGCTTCTTCTCAAGGTTTTCCCAGAGCAGTACTGATAGACAGTGCCTTCTTCATCTCCCACAAAATTATCAATTTAATATATTTTATTGTAGTATTTTCTGACTTCATTTTCATACCACCGAAAAGCAAGATTGTAGTCTCTGAGTTCACATTCAACAGATCAAAGGTTGGAAATAATTTTTTCCTGAATTTTTTGATACCACCAGGACACGAAAGACCAATAATGACCATGTGGTTGAGTAGCTGGATGACAGAATTCCATGCTCTTCATGGCCTTTATAGATCCTTCACCGTATCACCTTCCTCCCATTCCATCCTGAAAGCAGAAAAAATGTGTATGGGGAGTGAAGTTATACAATGGGGCACAGCTTGAAGGGAGTTTTCAAGAAAGCCAATTTGTTTGTGAAATAGAAGGTGGGTTATGGAGAAGGGAACATTTAGAGAGGAGATTACATTTTCTTTTCATTTTTTTTTCTTTTCTTTTTTGAGTTTCCAAAGAAAGTGCCAGGTGTTTGTTCACTTTCCAACCCCTGAGAACCAAGTTTCGAACCTAATCCACTGAGCCCTTTGCTAACTCAAGCCTGCTGGATTTATCCTGCCTTACTTAGCACAAACTATCTGGATACTTTGACTGCTTCAGATGATTATGGCTGTAATTCTTTGTGGGGCTTTATTGCACCATAGCAAGGAATAATANGCCTGAGTGTTCCTTCTGACAGTGTAACACCGGAAAAATAAGTATTCCCAGTGCCCCTTTGCAAGGAAAGGTCTAGCTGAGGCACACAGAAGAGCAGTTTAACATTTCTTGGTTTTCCTTTTATTTGTGGGTACCTGGGAATGCTGCTCTTGTAGCTGCAAAGTAGGGCAATGCAACCCACAGATGCAATTTTCACAGAGAGAGACCTGGGAAGAACACTCTTAATATAAGACATCCAAAGGGAAGGGATGGCTGAGGGTCCCTTAAGGAAACACAGAGGCACATTATGGCTGAGTTCTGATAAAGGTGTGAGTCAGTCAAACTCCTACTTCTGTACAAGAAAAGAAGCAAAATCACTATGAGGTTCCTACGCTGCTTTGGATGAGCTGGAATCTTTGTAACTTATATAAATACATTCTTTGACTCTTAATATACTTATTCATAGTGCAGCGTGCTGGAAGATGGGGCTGAGAAGACAAGAATGTCAATATAGGAAAAGAAAGCTGAGGACAGAAGAATGACATTTTTCAGTTCACCGGTTTTGGGGGTCAGGAAAGGGGAATAGGCTGGAAAGAACATTATCCAACCACTGAAGGTGTCATGTGGCAGAGATCATCAGAGAGGACATGTTGACTCCACTGAGTTTTATAGTCAACAAGGGTTGATGCTACTGTTCATCTCTAAATGCTCATTCCATTATGTTGGCATATATAACACAAAGGTGAAAAGAAGAGATTATATAACTGATTTGTAAAATTTTGGATACAAGAGGGTATTAAAGAAAATCAAAGGTCTGGAGCACCTCTCCTATAAAGACAGGCTGAGTGAGCTGTGGGTGTTTATCCTGAAAGCTCCAGATAGAACTTAAAGCCCCTTCCAGCACCTAAAGGAGGCCTAAAAAAGGGCTGGAGAGGGATGTTTTGCAAGGGCAAGAAGTGACAGAACAAGGGGGAACAACCTCAAGCTGAAAGATGGGAGATTTAGATTAGGTATTAAGAAGAAATTCTTCCCTGTGAGGGAGGTGAGGCCCTGGCACAGGTTGCCCAGAGAAGCTGTGGCTGCCCCATCCCTGGAAGTTTTCAAGGCCAGGTTGGATGCAGCTTGGAGCAACCTGGGATAGTGGAAGGTGTCCCTGCCTATGGCAGGTGGGTTGAAATGAGATGATCTTTAAGGTCCCTTCCAACACAACCTATTCTATGATTCCACGATGTCTGTGGTCTAAAATGTATTTCAGGTTTCCAGTGTTCACTCTGAGGTATCTGGTGACCCCATTTCCTCTCCCTTTTCTGCATATTGCTTAGCTGAGATTCATGTTAATACAGTGCCTTCCTCAGTTCCCTGTACATATAAACAGCTCTTCCTGATCTGATCCTTCCATCCAGTTCTTACTTCCCAAGCCCTATTTTTCTCCCAGTCTCTCCCACCAGCAGGAACGAGGAAAGGGGCTTGGGTACCATCCTGTGATTATCCTGACTTGTCTAAATGCTCCCAGCCATGGTTTTGGTCCTTGTTAAGTAGCACCCATGCAGACAGTGCCTGCACCCTGTTCAGGGGTTAATGCAAGATAGGAGCCATTTCCAAGCAGCAGGTGGGATGCAGACCCTCTGTTTTCAGCAGGAACAGTGTCTAAGCATATGGATGCAAGCTGTCTCCTCCCAGCTGGTCTTACAGACACAGAGCCAGCCCTGGCCTTTTTTGTTTAGTAATATACAGAAGGGGAGAATTCTAGCAGCAAACAATAATTTGGGGAGCAGATGTGGTTTCTTAACGTTTAACTCATTGTTACAGTTTCTAATTATGTGTTTACAGTTGCAATTATGAACGTTTATAGTTGACTGTATCCCTTTCATAAACTGAAAATAAATTTCTCATTTTACGTAGAAAACATTCACAAGGGCATTTTCAGATGCTTTATTATCTGTGGTTACATTTCTGTGGCTGTGCATCACTGTCCTCTTAAATGTATTTATTTCTCACAGCCATGTTAGCCCTTAATATCTTTTTTATCACACCTATATGTACCAAAATGTATTACTGAATTAATATCTCATATTCTTTTAACCTTTTCAAGTAAATAAATTTATTTTCTTTATCTTCACACTTTCGTGTGATCCTCCCACCCTTGTATAAATCTTTCTGTGCAATAAAATAGTTGACATAAGTAAAACCGCTATACATAATTGATGTGTTCTCTGTTTAATAAATAAAGTGTCTGTCATATAGGGGGGTAAGTTTCCTGGCTTTAATATTGTCTGGGTGAACGGTAACAGTATTTTTAGATTCTGTCCAGGGGGATGGAAAATTTTGATACTTTCTCGATAAGAAATTGTTCCTTTGTAAAGTAAATTGTGGTTAAAGCTGTATCTGATTTCTCTCATTAAAAAAAATAATATGAATGATCCCTTAAAATTTAAGTATCTGTCATACATCAGACTTTCAGAATTGTCAGAGTTGACTCACTGTTTGTTTCACAGTAACAAACAATGCCAGTGGAAAAAAATAAAAAAAGAAAGTTTTCCTGCTGTTAATGAGACAGAGGTGACTGTAAACAATAGATGCCTTATAGCTATTCTCAAACAGGAATCAAAGCTGTAATTAAATATAAAACACTGTCAATGATAGGCTCTTTAATGTAACATATCTCAGTTGCTTTTCCTCTATGAAATAGCTTCACTTAGACAAAAGCTGAGAGTGACTGAAACAAGAGAAGAAAGACTTGTGCTGAAGACTGATTTCTTGTTGCTCATGACACGCCAGTCCTGTAGCTTCAGCAGCAAATATTCCTGAAGTCAGAACACAGCTAATCACATCATTTTGGTGGCATCTCTCTGACTAAATGGTGCCATGTGAAGACACTTTGTTCCTAGATGGACGTAGGTGTCATCTCAACTGCTCTGTTCAGACCCTGGGCTGTCTACTCCCTGAATAGGCAAAGAATAAGAGAGGAAATAACTTGGGGAAAACTGGTGAAGAGCTAAAACTTCTTCACCTCTGCATTTTCCAGTTATTTTATAACACGGATGTATGGGTGCCGGGTGGACAGCAGCACTCTCCTAAACCCCAAGGTCTAGAGGATGTTGCTTCATAAACACACACAAAGCAGAACAAAGGAAAGGGAGTTCTGGAAGGCAGAGGCAACTCTCCTGCAACTCTTGCCTGAGCTAATCAAAAGGATACAAAACCCCTGCACAGTCCTTGATCAGCCGTGCGATGCCTCCAGCCAGAATCCAGCCTATATGTGTAAACAAATAGGACGCCCTGAGCGAGTACTAGGAAGTAGGAAAGAGGATTTGGAATAAAGAACTACAGTTCTTGCATGGTGCAGGTTAATTATCTCCTTGCATTGTTTTCTATTCACAAATCAAAAGTAAGTACTTCAGAATCTGAGCTGCTGCCCTGCTGTAAAGCTGTGCTGTAAGATCAAGTCAGAGTCCAGACCTTTAAGTGTAGGTATATAAACCCAAAATAACTAATTCATCCATTTTGGGGCAGAATAGCAGTTAAAACCAAAATATTTCTATATAAAATAGAAAAAAAATATTTCACTTAAAATACGGGAGGAAATAGAGTCAGAAGAAAAATATCTATTCTTAGTTGACTCAGAACAATTCTATACAGGTGGGGCACTGGAATATGTTGCCCAGAGAAGTTGTGGCTGCCCCAACCCTGGAAGTGTTCAAGGACAGCATGGATGGAGCTTGTAGCAACTTGGTCTTGTGACAGGTGTCCCTGCCCATGGCATGGGTTTGGAACAAGATGATCCGTGATACTGTGATTCCATGATACTGAATATGACCCTGGAGAAGCTCCTCCACGGAAGATACTCACCAACTACTACTTTCAAAAACAGTGGAAACAACGACTCTTGGTTTGTTATCGTTTGAAGTGATGAGTTTGGGCTTTCTGATCTCTACTAAACTGTAAACACTGAGATTTTCCCCCTTCTGAGTTACACAGTGCCCCTTCTCTAATAATCAAGTGTTGAGTTCATACTGCATCTATCTCTCAATGGAATCACAAGAAAAGAGTTTTTCTCCTTTACTGAGCTAGCTGGTGACATTTCTTGGAACCTGATATCATTGGAAGAGATGTCAGTCTCTCAAATTATGTTGACAATGACAAATATGTTAAAAAGTCATTAGGGCAAAACAGATAAACATGTGAAATCACACACACATGCACAATCTTAGCTAAACTTCATAAGATACAGATCTTTAGAAGAACCAGGCTTGGAGTATTCTTCTTCCAGGTAACAAGTGACAGAATGAGAGGAAACAGCCTCAAGTTGTACCTGGGGTGGTTTAGACTAGATATTAGATTTTTTTTTTTTTTAAACGGAAAAGGTTCTAAAGCACTGGATCAGAGCCCAGGGAAGTAGGGGAGTCACCATCTCTGAAAGTGCTAAAAAAATTCTATGGGTATAGCACTTGAGGACATGGTTTATTAGTGGACACTGTGGTTGTTGGAAGTTGAGCTTGATGATCTTAGGGATCTTTTCCAACCTTAATGATTCATGATTCTACTGGTGACTTAGGGTTTTATTGCACCCTGGGGCTGAATCACCCCTGAGGGACACAATAAAAAAAAAAAAATAAAAAAATGAAAGGAGGTATGGAACTAGAAAGAGGGGAAAAGAGTTGCTGACTGAAGTTCAGACTGAGTAGTGGAGAGAGAAGACCTTTGCCTAAGTTTTCTTTGAGAAATCAGAAGTTTGTGTTAATTGATAACACAGTTAAATTAGGTAAAGTTCCCCATTGTACCTTTTTCCACTATCCACCTCCTAAGTGAGAGTGTTGCAGTTTCAGAAAGCCATTCCTCTCCTGCCCTGGTTAAAAATTCCTAGGTGTTTGCTGGCTGCCAAACCAGCAAAGCCTGAGTACATGCTACTCTTTGAAGCCAATCAACAGCTCTTCACAGTTACCCCTGCTGTCACATAAAACAGGATAAAGAACATCCCACATACCCAACTGCTTGTCCTCCGTCCTGCTTTACTTCTCGAATGTTCTCTGTCACAGCTGTGGTCTGCACCAATGACAAAATATTCCAGACACATCCTAATCATGTTTTGGGGATTACACATGATATCCCATGCCTTGTGGGGCACATGGACCAAAATGATTCAGATTTGAATTCTACCCTTACGCAGCATTCCAGTAAATCCCAGGAGGCTTTGCAATCTCAGCGATTGCTGAATGCTTTTCTGTTGCACATGTGGAGCATTTCTTAGTTGCCTGCCAGGAAAACTCCATTCAGATGGTGAATGAACACTTTAGTCGGAAAAAAAAGGAAAACTCATACAGAAGAGAATTATACATCTCGAAATCATAGGGAATCCCATACTGAGCCCCACAGAGATCCAGAGGCAAGTGCAAGTTAGTGTGAACTTTGCCAGCCTTGGCTTCAGGGCCAAGGAAAAGAGGGACTCTAGACAGGAAGAGCTTCATCACACCAGAGAATATTTTTTCCCCCTTTTCCCTCATGGTATTTATGTAGTTTCTCTCATCACAACATGGGAGATGCCTCGCAAGCATTTCTCTTTGTTATCTTAACAGCTTTGCTCCTGATAACAATCCAGGTAAGGAGCTTGCTCCTAGAGTTTTATCCTGAACTCGTGTCAAGTCAACGCTTACTCCCACTTGATCATTTTGATGGCCAGAGATTATATTAATGTCTTATTCCTTGGCATGTTATTGTCTACAGAATTTAGTGTGTCTCAGTAATCTTGATTTGACAGGTAGCTCATAGTCCACTGACTTGCAACCTCTTAAACAACATGTAGACTGAGTGGTTATCCTAAAAATTAAGTGCTTGGGGAATTTGTGTCCAAGACATCACAGACAGTATATCCAAGATTATGTTACATACAGTGTACTAGAGAAAAGATGGGATATTATGATAGTAAATTCCTTTAGCCCAGTAATTTGCAGTGCTGTCCAGTGTCCTGCTTAACCTTTAGACACGCCTCCAAAAGGGAGTAGATTTGATCCATCTCCTGTGTCCTACCTGGCATCTCTGAGCAGAAGTCTTCAGTATTCTAATGCAACTCAGAGGGCACAGTTCCTTTGTTTAGATAACCAGTATGAGCCAGAATCAGCTAAAATCGAAACACTGAACTAGAATGGTTTGGGTTGGAAGGGACCTTAAAGATCATTTAGTTCCAACCCTCCTGCCACAGGCAGGGATGCCACCTACTAGATCGTGTTCCTCAGAGTCCCATCCAGCTTGGCTTTGAATGCTTTCAAGGGTGGAACAGCCCATAATAATGAGAGTGACCCACAGTGCACACTCTCAGTGCACTTTCAGCTTCAAGTTTGGAGCTGAATCTCAGCTTTCTGGAACCTTAGATTAATAATCTACTGGGGCCCTTTTTTAAGTCTAGCAACTAATTTTAATTGCATCACGATAAAAATGATATTTGGCACGGTGTTTTGTCTACTAAATTCCCTCCACGGGGTTGTGCTCTAACTTTTTCAGCTCCACAGTTCTTTCTTCTTCTTCTCAAAGCTAAAGGACTGACTTGAACAACAGTCAGGGCCTCCAGATTCCTCAAGGACCTTTCAGTCTCTGAGCTTCACAAAAGCAAATCAACTGCTTCAGCTAAGAAAAAAAAGCTGCTTCACACTCAGAGTCAACCTGGTAATATTTTCCCAGTGCACAGTGGCGCCGGTCACCTTCTTCCTAATTAACTGCCACCCCGGTAGACTGGCACCAATGTGTTTTGAAAAGTTCTCAACAACAACAGCCTCTTCTGTGAAGCAGCTTAAAACAGGCACATTGCACTCTGTTTTGACTGATTGATGAACCTCAGTGCAGTGTATATAATAATGTGCTAAATGTTACATATGCCCTTAGTGGGTAATTTCAGGAAATTATTAAAATGTGCTTCTTTTAAAAGGTTTGGTAATGTAAGTCACAGAGACCCAATGCTGATTAGTGTGGGTGACCACAGTGTACTCGAGGCTTTGATATTTCTTGGCTTTTTCTTGGTTTCCCGGAGGCCCTTTGGACAAAGCAAGAAAGATGGCTGAGACACCCTTGGCCTTCTGGGAAACTCAGTGACATTTAAAGGCTGCTGGGGCCTATTCTGTTAATATCTAAACTAATTAAAATCAAATCATAATTGTAGAAGCTTGTTCACCAGAATTCTAATCAGATTGGGAGTGGTACATGCTGCTGTGCTGACGGCTGTCTCGGCTCTGTGAGAAGTGTTTTACTGTACAGAAAATTGTTCTCAGTGCTCTTTCTCGATCTTACAACCAGCTCCTTAGATAAGAAATGTCACTTCAAATGTAGGGTGAAGACTTGCTTCACCATTTTTCTTTCTGTGTACACTGAACACATTTTGCTGTATCGTGTAACAGGATATTTGTCAGGGTGGGGCAGGCTTGGATGTACAAAAAGTGTTTTTATTAGGGCTGAGGGTGACACCCTGCACTGAACATCCACGGTACACAGCCCCACAGCAGACAGCAGCTTCCTTGCGAGGGGAAGCTGAGGGACAGGCACCAATCTCTGCTCTCTGGTAACCAGTGACAGGACCCAAGGGAGCAGCTGGAGGTGTGCCAGGGGAGGTTTAGGTTGGATATGAAGAAATGTTTCTTCACCCAGAGGATGGTCAGACACCAGAACAGGCTCCCCAGGGCAGTGGTCACAGCACCAAACCTGCCAGAACTCAAGAAGTGTTTGGACAATGCTCTAAGGAACATGGTGTGATTCTTGGGGTGGTCCTGTGCAGGACCAGGAGTTGGACATGGATGACTCTTTTGGTCTCTTCCAACTCAGGATATTCTGTGATTCTGTGACACTGAGGTTGCAGAAGCTCATGGGCAACACGTCAGCACATCTCAGAGCAATATTGTAAACGATGGGGTCACAGGGCTGAGCTGAATGAGAGCTGTGCCTGATGAGGTACGCGCTGCTGATGAAATTTATGTCTGTCAACTCAGCTCTGAGTCTGGCAGATCTTATTTTTAACGTCTGTGTGTTCAGTGTCACTGTGAGCAGTGAAATACCTGTGTCAGATCAATAAGACACTCTTATTGCTGAGGAAAACAGCATGAGAATATAACAGGTATTAAGGCATATAGGAAAGCCTTATTAATATTTAGCAAAACTAATCTGTTTCTCACTAGCCAAAACATGCACAACCAGCCCTTTTGGGAAGACAGCTTTGAAGATTCCCTAAGTTGAAATGAGGCTTT